ATGTCCAGTGCAGTTTTGACCAAGAACTAATATCGATTTTTTTATAAAAAGTCGTTTGAAGAGAATGCTTGTGACTTTTGAAGGAAAAGTGATAGAGATCTGCGGTCTTCATTGTTGGATAGAGCACAGCGAGGCATGTAGTACTATGAAATAACCAAGCCTTCAGGTAAAATTTACTATAGTAACTCTTTGAATGCAAATTTGGTGTGGGTCTGTGCGTGTAGGTACGGGTGAACATATCCGTATCCATGCCAGAGGAACACTCGAACAGACATCCACACACCGGTACATCCACATCCAATGTACATTCAAAGACTTACTATGGTAAAGTTAACCAGAATGTCTGATTATTTCATAGTACTATGTGCCCCGGTGTGCTCTATCCAACGATGAAAACCGCATGTCTCTACCACTGCCTCTTCAAAAGTTATAAGCATTCTCTTCAAGCGACTTTTTTAAAATATCGATATTAGTCCGGATGATATAATTGAAATGTTTTCATTCCATTAAGACCCATTGTCGCTACAAATCTTAACTATTCAAAAAATATGAAAATATAGTAATTCTACTCATCTGCTACAGGTATTTCATCACAAAATAACCGTAAGTAGAAAATTTGACCATGAAAGATACTTTTTTTATAGTTTTTTCTTTGTTCGCTATTGCTCTTGTACTCGAAGTTCAGCATATTTCTTAAAATTTAATTTTGATTTTTACCTGTTAACCGTGTTCTAATACACATTTTTGTTGATTTCAGAGGCTCAATGTATTTACACGCCGATCTATAACTATTTTCTGGCATTGATCCAGTTCTAAAACTATGGTAAGCATAATCATACTCTAATGAATAGCAAATTTTCTTTTTTTAATTTACACAAAAGAAGTTTCTATTAATTTATCCTGTACTAAGTCCCTTTTCTTCTAAACTCTTCTGACTGCATCAGATACAACGGCTTCATTCTATATGAAGAAGTTACACTATTGTGGTACTTAGGGTAGTTCAAAACTCAGACAGGGATAAAAATGGTAAAATAGCATTAAAATGCCTATAAATGGTAATTATTATAATGGTGTAAAACGGTCACACATAATGCCAAAAAATGCTTTTCATGTGAGGCATTAAAATGTGCGTCATGTGACGCATTAAAATAGTTATGTTTTAACTAGCAATGATGGTGTTTGTATTGTTAGTTAGTAAGGTTAGATATGTTCGAGCCAAATATATGCTTGTGTTGCCAAACCTAGGTCGAGATATTCGAATTTTTGGATATTTACACAATATGTAACGTATTCACAAATTAAAATGTTAGCAGAATTTTGTCTTTTTCGTTTTTCGTCATAATTAGATTGAGCTCATCGATTTCTATACGAAAAAGTATATTTCAAATTCAAAACAATTTTTATGAAAATCAGAATTGTGGGTCTATTTTTTCATATACTTGAAAATTATGTTATCTTGAACTTCTTCGTGAAATATTTGTTTTTGAATTTGAAACATACTTTTTCTTATATAATTCGACCAGCCGTATTCAACTATGACGAAAAAAGAAAAAAATTCTGCCAAAACTTTGATTTATGTGTGCACTACATATAATGTAAATATCCTAAAATTCGAATATGTCGTTTTATATTGGATATTACTGGTTAACATAAAATTTAATTATAAGATCTAATTCTCAATGCTATTCAGAATACAGTAGACGACAAAAGTATTTTACCACTTTTTTGCATCTTCTATTTTATTAATAAAAGAAAAGTTTTTATTCTTACATTAGTATATTAGTATTCTAGCTGTCATACTCTACTAGTATGCATACAGGAAACATACAAACAGTGATTTGACTAATGAAAAATTAATAAAATGTGAAGTTTTGTTAGTTTTTCTTGCCTCATTTCAGAAGATAACGGATGAGACATAATAAATGAACACATTTTACGTTTCATTTTGTTCATCACTTAATATGTTGTATAAAAAAAATATATATACCACAAGATGCAGCGTAAAAAGCTCTACAATTTACAAAGAACAATTTTTGTTTTGAAAATGGACAAACTTCTGTGCGACCAATTTTCGACACTGCGTGAACAAGATCATTTATTGGTACGCAACGAGGTGCTTATTGTTTCGGTTAATGAGTTACATCGAAGGTCATAATCGATGACTGAATTTAGATCAATCGATATGTGTTCCAATTATAACAATATGCAATGGGATAAAATTAAAATTATGATTCTTTAATTGATGAAATAAGAAAAGGAATTCGTCGTGTATCAATAAATGATCTTGTTCGCACAGTGTCGAAAATTGGTTGCACTGAAGTTTGTCCATTTTCAAAACAAAAGTTGTTCTTTTTAAATTGTAGTTTTTTACGCTGCATCTTGTGGTATATTTGGTTTTTCTTTGATAGAACGTATTAAGTAATGAACACACATTTTATTAATTTTTCATTAATCAAGCAACTGCTTATATGTTTCCTGTATGCATACTAGTAGAGCATGATAGCTAGAATGCTAATATACTAATATAAGAATGATAATTTTTCTTTTATTAATAAAATAGAAGACACAAAAAGTGGTAAAATACTTTTGTCGTCTACTGTACTTTTACAATTTTGAGAATAGAGCTGTTGATTGATTTTATTTTTACTTGATGAAATAAATATAAATAAGATATTTATCGTCATAAAATCAAGATAAATATATTCCTGATATTTATAAAAAATTTAAAATAAAGAAATAAAAACTTTTAAAATTAAAAAAGAATTCAAAATTACCGAATACAAATAATATCTCGCTCTGTGATAAATAAATTTATAAATATGTAGTATGAAAGCATTAATTAACTTTTTTTTCTTATTACTAGCACCTTAATATCTAATGTTGTTAAAAATTGAGAACACTACAAGAAAAATATATGCAAAAATTCTTGTCCATGTGCTTTTTTATAATTATGACATCAGAATATTTTTAGATATCTATTCATTTATCTTTTTCTTAAAAGCATAAATTTAAAAAAAATTATTTAATCTTTACTTTTCAAGTAATAAAAATTCTTAATTTATTTATATTTATTTTATTAATGTAGAAGTTTTCATTTTCATTCATTTTTTTATTATAGAGAACAATAAAGATAAACCAACGCTCATATTTGAAAAAAACACTTGAGAAATTGAAATAAAGCGAAATAGTTGAAAATAAAAGAAGCATATTCAAAAGATTTATTTGTTTGTGAAGTTTAAAAAAACTCTAAGATTACAACCTACCGTTTGTGTATCCCTAAGCATTTTAGAAGTAATGTAGAACGCCTCATACAGCTTTAGCAGCAATTAAATATTTTCAATAAAAGATGTGCAAGTAGCAATGAATTATGATATGAATACTGCTATATATAATTAATCTTTTAAATCAAATCCAACTTGGCTATATTTTAATAATAGCGATGCAGTCTGAATACTAGAATCCGATTCGATTTCGACACATAGTGATGGTTATTTTTTTGAGAATAAACTAAACAAGTTTATCTTATAACAGTATCGTAACGTAGAAAATTTAGAAAGCGCATATAAATATATTTTCAGCGAAGACGAGTTTACACGCATTCATATGCCTAAGAATGTTGTATTTTGGATGCGTTCCATCGCGTCTAGTTGTATAATTTATAGATGCTCAGGGACGCTTTAGCCGTTTACATATAAATACACGGCTTCCAGAGATATGTGTGATAAAGAATCTTTTGTAGACGTATTCTTCGGCTTATTATTCTTTTTCAATTAAATTAAAGAAAACTCCACACGTGGAACTAAATGGATTAAAAAGTAATATTTTGCTTTCAGCTACAATTTTCTAAACCTAATATCATGACACACAGTGTTTACTCTAGTCACAATAACATTCCAACGAAGATAGAGCACGCTGGAATCATAGATACATTCTCCTATAGACGCAACTTCCTTTTTAAAATAATTATCAACACTAACTAAACTAACTATATAATTATATATTCAACTACGTTTCGGCAAATTCGATGCATTGACAAAAGCATTCTATAAAATGCGTTTTATCGATCCAATCGACTAGATAGCGTTCAATGGAAGAGAGATAGCTTCTTTTAATTATTAAACGCGATCAGAAACATAAAGTGACATGAAAACGTCCCAACACGTCCTAAAATCAAAATTACAACACATTTGTATGCATATAGTCTAAAAAATGTTCTGAAACTACAGATGTTTTCTAAACGCATACGAGAAACACAGCGATCGTTGCATCTAGATGTATTTCAGTCATGCTTTGGTACGAAAACGCGTCACAATGCCGAAGATTTGCAACATAAATGTATCTAGCTGCGTCTAAAATGCGTTTGATCGTTACATGGGTATGTTGAGATAAAAATTTATCTTGAATAAAAGCTAAGAATATTGTTCCTCATTCGTAGAAAAAGTGTAAACGACTAAAAATCTCTATTATTCGTTCACTTAAAGGATATACCGTACTCTTAGATCATCATCCAAAGAAATTGTCAAATAAAACTTGAGAATAACTTAATGAAAAAAAAAATATGGAGTTAAGTTGAAAAGTTAATATAATAGGTGGGAATACATTTCTCTGTAAAATTATAAGTGGTCATACACATATATGTCAGTTGTCACTTTACATAGATGCACATACAATAGTCAACATATACATGTACAACCGGTCTTCATGCATATTACTGACCTCTCTTTCAACATAATATAAATATTAAAGGAAAAATCAGAGTGATGCAAATTTCATAATAATATATCCAAGCAAACACTTTATAGGTTTAGATATGTATCTAAAAATTGGTAACAGACAAAATGTGATGCTATTTTCAATGACAGACATTCGATTTTTAAGGGAAAACTCTTTAATAAATAAAGTTCAAAAGATAAAAAGTTGATTGGAAAAAAAATAATGTTGTTTCTTTTCTACAATATAAATCACGATTTAGATATAATAGAAAGATTCATAAAAAATCGTTAGAGTCGGTCGTAATATTCATCACTTCCATATGTAATACTACATTTTCGATGTGCATTGCTAATTTTTTTTCTTGATAACGAATAAAACGTTTGCGGTAATAGTAAAGGTATGTCTGCTGCAACTAATAGATATAGATTTCGAATTTGTTGTTTAAATGAATGCCAAAGTGGATTATCCAATGGTGATAAATACTTTGCAGATGGTGTTGATATATAAAGAATTTTCACAACCGATTTACGTTTACCAGCTCGTAAAGCTTGCATCATATTTGCTTGATTATGAGCAGGACTCTTGTCACAAATCAAAGAGATATTGTCGATACATTTTTGTGGGTTTATTTTTCTATCAGTTGTAATGTGTATGTGTATACGTACATAAATAAGTAACGCTCGTCTATGAACTCGCTCAGCTCTTTCTCGTAGCAGTGCTGTATCTGGACTCTCCCCACATTATTCACTTATCTATATTACTAATAGTAACTAGTTTCAGATTGAAATTCTTGTTTTTGAATTTCCTCTACTGAAGTTTTTTTCCTAAACTATGATGACATTAGTATGTTTTACTACTCTTTAGCATTGCTAGCTTATTAACACAAATTCATCATAGATTCTCGTTTTTTATTTGAAAAATCTTTGATGAAGTTTTCCAGAAAAGACATTAATAATAGTAGTACTTAGAAAAAAATCAAAACAGATTTCGGATTTAGGTTCCTGACCTTCAATTTCCCCTTTTCGAGTGTTGTACAAAAATATTAATGATTAATAATTAAAACAGACCCTATATTTGGGTTCTCCATTTCTGAACACCTTCGGTCAAGTTTTGTCGAAAATACTAATAATTAATAATTAAGTAATAATACATTAATAATTAAAACCGATTTCGGGTTCGGATTTTCCACTCTCGATTAACTTTGATCAATTTTTTTGAAAAAAAATTAATAATTAATTAATTAAAACTGGCTTCGAATTTGGATTCCGCACCCCCAATTACCTTTGATCAAGTTTTATGGAAAATAATCCCTTTTTTTCACATCATTCTTGGACCAATCAGTGAAGTGCGAACGCTCAAACAAGCAAGAAATTTATTCTTGCTGGACTCGTCTTTACGAGAAAGAGAACGAGAAGCACATGTATATCGATAGATAATCGAATAAGAAAGAGAAAAAAAAGAACAAAATATAGTGTTGACATCCTCACGTGCAAATCGATATGGTATATAACGCAATATGATTTTATTTGCAACTGGATAGCTTCAAATATTTCAACAGCAAAAAATTCTTGTCGTTTGCCTATTAATTTGAACACATTTATAGGTAGGATGTTACATAAACATAAGCTCTGAACTATCAGAACTCATCGAATCTATGTGTGTTGATATAAAAGCAATAAGTAAACAAAATTTACTTAATTTATGCTATACATTGGAGAAAAAAAAGCAACACTATTTTTTTTTCCAATTAACTTTTTTCTTTCAAACTTTATTTTTTGTTCAAGTTGAATATACCATAAGAGGCAGCTCGTTCCGTACTTTCTTCCAATATATATTATGTTTCAAAATAAAAGTATTAAAGCAACAAAAACAAAAGAAAAGCAATGGGGGAAAATTCAATTGATCCGCACTGTATATATTCATATTCATATAGTTATTCTGAAATTAGAATTTCATGTTGACTTGTTCAATTTAAAGAATTGCATTATGTTGTGATGTCACTTGTCAGGTAAAACTTCAAGATCTCAAACTTTTGAGTGTATGTTTAAGTAGCACTAGGTTATTAGTCTATACGAAAATAGTTTGAGCAAATTCCAACATACTGATTTAGTGAACGTCTATCAAGAAGATAGGCTAATTTTGAGCCTAATATATACGCAGAGTAAAAGTGATATAAAAAGTTCAGTGATACTTAGGCATCATATGAGCTTCACTGGATAGTATGTTTGAATAGGCCATCTCACAATGTATATGTTGGTGAAATTTTCAGAGCTCTAACTAGCACTATTGAGGAGATATCGTGAAAACATTTCACATAACTGATTAAATAAAAATATCTGAGCTCGATAAAAAAAATATTTTGCGTGCTTTTAATCAGAACACAATATCTCAGATAGAATTCATTCTTTAGATTTAAAAATTTGGTTACATTTCTAAAAACGTTATTTCTACAAAATGAGATCATTTTGATCCAAATCTAAAGTTTTCAATTGAGCACAACTAGTCGTGGCTATCGTGCAATAACTTTTGAGAAGGAATAGAATATTTCAAAGGAGCAAACGAATGATTGGTTTTGTTTGGAACATGCATCTAAATGGATACGACTGATATATGATTTCAATCACTTGCTCTTGTATTATTCTTTTGATGGAAGGGAGATAGATGAAGTAGGCTGGAGATATGAAACTGTGACGATTTTCAGATAGAAGAAACCTTAATAGTGATGGAATTATGCTTTATTGAGCTTCTTCATACCATCAATCGTCAACGGTGACGATTTATGATAGAAGGTATGTTAGTGCAGATGGAGTTACACTTTATTATAATCCTTCATATCATACAATCGCGTCGTTTACATGTAAAGCACACGTTTATATACGCAAGTAGAATAAGACATGATGAAAAGAAAGACGATGAGACCAAGGAGAGAATAATGTAAGACTGAACAAGTGATGAGGCCAAGGTGAGAACAATGTAAGAATGAATAAGTGATGAGGCCAAGGAGAGAACAGATATAGAAGAATAATAGAGTAACAATATATATAATATACGAGTGAGTGGTAATATAGAATGAGAAGCGCATTACGACAGAAAGAGAACAAGGTTCAACCATGCATAGATAAACGTAGGAGTAGCGCGATTATAAACACTATGTATCATTGATTGTACAAGAGCACACTGCAAAAGAAAAGATATCATATAAGATAATATGTCCATTGGCACAGAAACCATTCGTGATTATTTGATCTTCTCCATCTGTTTGTTCTTCACTGACTTATCTTTATTTTTACAGGATTAACTAGCAAGCAAAAAGTTCATTGATCTACTTCGAATCTCAATGATGACAAAAAAGTGGCGTTTAACGATGTTCTTTTTTATCCCTATGATTATACTTGTTCTCCCTCTATTATATTATAAAACTAGACTTTATTTTTCCTTGTTTCCTATAAAACTTAATATTCAAAATCCATTGCTTCGCAACAGCAATACGTCGACATTATCTGAGTCTCCAATGATGTGTGCAACGACATGGTACAAAGGATTAAATCTTGAGTTTAACGCTTTTGGAGTGAATCAATTTAGTAAAGTGATATTTTTAATGGATGCCTATTATGCGAAAATTGTAAAAGATGGTTTTTACAAATGTATTTTTTTCGCGGCTGGTAAGTGCCCTAATAAGATGCTATTCCCTACGAAAAGTAAGCACAGAATAGATTTTTTTCTATTGAAATTCTTAATAGTCATTTACTAAATATGTTTTATTTTGTAAAGTTTCTCAAGAACAAGATATTTGAAATACTAAACACTATTTGGATGATATTGAATGTGATTCTCAATGCAAGCATATACTCTAAAAGAGATTTTTTATGAAACTCGAAATACACATAAAAAAATCTTTCTTATTTCGGTACTAAGCAAAATTCATGCTCAATTTTCTTGAAATAGAACATAGACGAAGTTTTTGTTTCGAAGCTGCACCATGTTAAAAAAAACAGGCTAAAAATCTGATTCAAATCGGTTTTCAAAAAGAAATCGTAATAATCTATTAAGAATCTAATCGATTTTAATCAATTAATTTTAAAATCGATTAAAATCAATTGTCTATAAAAGAATGAAAGTAATCAGTTAAAAAATGTCATTGATTTTTATCGATTATTTTTAAAATCGGTTAAAATCTATTGTTTTAAAGGAATAGAAATAATCAATTTTATATTTAATCCATTTAATTCAGCTGTTTTTTCATACAAACCCATCCCATGTAAAAAAAATCGGAAAAATCTGATTTTAATTGTTTTTTTTCTGATTAAAAATCGATTAAAATTGCATTATTTTAATACTGATTTTAATCAGATTTTTCAGGCTTAAAGGCAGATGTCATTTGATTTTAATCTTTTTTAATTTATTTTAGTCAGTTAACAAACTTTAATCAAATTAAAATCGGTTTCTAGTAATCGGTTGCAATCGATTAAAGTTTGTTAACTGATTAAAATCAGTATTAAAATAGTGTCATTTTAATCGATTTGTAATCCAAAAATAATCGACTATAATCTGGTTTTTTACATGAGTTGCCAAAAAAAATTCAGGAATATGAATAACATCCTAATTTTATCCAAGCCACTTTTGTATCTCTATAAGACTCTGGAGAATACTGGCTTCTCAGCTTCACATGGGGACTGAGACCACTACAGTTTTATTTTGGCTCGATCACTATGGACTTAAATCGATTGTTTCCCATAAAATGCAAATGAGAGATTCATAATCTAATAGATTGTACTAGATTTTATATTTTATCTGTTAAAGTAGATTCGCTTCTATAAAGTATATTAAAATCAATTTTCCCGTATAGAATCTGAAAACTTGATTGAAACCGACTTTTTTCAAATCGATGAAAGTGTATTGAACCATTTTGTTTTTCGAATAAAATTAATTAGAAGATTTAATTGACATAAAATACTTTCTCCAGACGAAAAAATCAGATTTTAAAGATGTTAGTGTGCGTGCTAGTATAGATCTTCTAGTCAACGATCCCCACATCTACACATACGCACACCGACACCTACTCCTACACCCTAACTATATTGAGAGGAAAAAGTTGAAGAGATAATGCACGATTATAGAGTTAGACCTTTTTGTAATTATAACATTGTGACTGAAATATTGTCTATTTAGGTACGAGTAGAATGTTACGACCAACTATTGTAACAAGAATCGGTGGGCAAGAAATATTTGATCCACATGAACATACATTATGTCTCGAATGTATAATACCGAAGAAAGCTGTTAACTCGAACACGCTAGCAATAAAGCTTATGTTGAGTGAGTACAATACGAAATGAATTCGATGCCACTGATATGTAAATTCACTCAGAATTTTAAATGATCAGCACCAAACGTTCGAACGGCAATCCACTCTTAGATGGGAGATGAGCTGATCGACTATTTAGATGAACAAAGGTATCATGTAATTGGCAGAATTTATGCTTTCCATCAATGGTCAGGAAACTAAATGAATTTACAATTTATTTATACAGAACTTGTCACTCAAAAAAAAGCGAGAAAGACTTTGTACAATTCCATATATGCTGAATAATCTCCAGAAATGAACTAGGTCTTTAAGCTTTAGATAAGAAAAAAATTTTGGAATCACTCTCAGGACAATTTCAGAAGAGAACCTACCTAGTTGGCATCTTTCCATTATGTGACAACGCAAGAACTTTTTTGGAAGAGGTTGTTATGTAAAGACTTTGATCATGTTTTGTTAAAGAAATTTCTCCTCCATTATTTTTGCATTTGTTATCGAAGATTTTAATGTTTTCGATCTTCAAAGATTTTTTCTTAGTGTTTTTTATTAAAAAAATGTAACAAAATTCTAAAGGAGACTTTCCGCTACATCTAGCACAAAATTCCCAAAGTGTTCTATATTATGCTAAGTAGAGAAAGTGTGCTAGGTGTTACTTAATAACGTCAGTAAAGATTGTCCGCTGATTGTACTTTCTGTTCTCAGAAAACAACATTATTTATGTAGAAAGTGTTATTGTAAGGTTGCTGCTGCGATATGAGTCATCAACTGACATGTTGAACTTTAAGTACTCAGTCGTAAAACTCAGATCAGAAGGAACTAACATATGATGTAAAAGTTATGGGACAAATGTCGAACCCTATTTCTCTTCGATAGAAGGGTGGTAGAACAAATGATTTCTTACCAGAAGATAGGACTTTTTCTCCTCTTTCGAATTGTACAAAACTTATTTTTTATAACGAGTTCATAAATGAAACGACATGATAGGAAAGAGAGGCACCGGTAAAAAGAATCCGAACTTTTTGTGAGATTCAGAAAAATTGTACAAAATATTGATCCCTATGTCCTCTTCGATAAATAGATCCTGACAAGCATACTTTTTTATCAGTTGATAGGAAATTTTCTTCTCTATCGAAAAGTATGTGATTTATATTTGTCAGGGTGTGGATGTGGATGTGAGTGAAAGATTCACATTCACAGTCTATATTCGTCTTCGATCATCAGGTTTTCAACAGCTTTAATAGTTATGCTATTTACGTCCAAAATTGTTATCAAACTATGATAATCCATCTTCAAAATGACAATCTTATCCAGAAGCTGTAGTAATTGATGGAGAATCAATCAACATAAATTACCCCCGCACGTTCATGCTCATTCAGAGACATACGGCCTCATAGAACAAGAAATTTTATCATTGGACGATGGTCAATCTTTATGATTTTTTGTCAGTGCATAGAGAGTGGTCTAAAATGTATTTCTATGTTTTCATATATATGTTTCATGCAGCAGACCTTATCATCCCTATAGATAAAGGACTACGTGAACTAAGTCTAGATAAGAATACAAATGCGGCAGTGCTTCTTATTATTTTTTAATAAAATCAGTTCGGAAACTTTTTGAACAGCCTACGTATGTAATATATTTTCTAGTTTCAGGCATAGATTATTACAACACGATTAATATTTCTATCTGTCGATCATATACGTCATCATTTAGTTTTACTAATAGCCGACTTTTTTTGGAAAATATATCTCAGCCTATACTACCAAGCACAAAATTAAATAGAAATTCTAGTCTCATTGCCGCATGTACACAAACAGCACATCACGATGCTGAATTCCCCATATGGCTAGATTATCACCACAAATTGGGAATTAGACATTTCTATATCTATGATCATGCTCCTTTCAACAAAACTACTTTACATAAAACTCTCCGACCTTATATTGATTCAAATCTAGTCACTATTATTCCTTGGCATATAGACCATTGGCATGGCTTTCAACACCATGCTACACCTTCAGAGTGGATTGCTCAACAAATATGGTCACAAAATGATTGTATTTATCGCTATGGCTATCTGCATTCATGGATGTTAATATCAGATGTAGATGAGTTTGTCGTTCCCATGGGTCAATATCGTAATTTTGATCAGATACTCGCCGTAGTTCCATCAAACTATTGTGCTCTTCAAGTTCTTCATTATCGATTCAAAGCTTTGCAAAGTGTCGGAACTAGTGAACCAAAATATCGACTAAGTATGTCATGAATTTCCTATGTTTAATGATCATAAATTCTATTATTCTAATTAGGATACTAATCATAGCTCATGATGAAAACTTCCTTGAGAAAGCTCTAAAGAACCAATCAGGGTTAAACCATGTTTCAATCTTTGGCCAAAGAAAGATCGTATTATGAGTTTACGTCTAACACATTAAAATATTAATAGAAAATTTATGAATCAGTAAATGATGACAGTCCTAAGAAATTATTATTAACATTTTCCTTTTTGTACGGGAAATGGCAAAAGTATAATACGAAGAAAAAGAAACCTACGTAAGAGAATAGTAATTGTTCACTGTTGTGTCATTTTTCAGCATGATCAATGCTCTTTCTAGGTTGACTCTTCCGTGTATTGTCATGCCATTTTTACTTCAAATTAAGTAAAATATGAGAATATGCTTTTTTTCTAATTATCGAACATTTTCAAATTAAATAAATGTATTATATCATAAGTCATGAACAAACGAATTATTTTAAATGATTCGAGTTCATTTAATTTTAACTGTTTTCGATAACATTCTATGACTTATGAAAGCATGAGCATGAAAAAAATAGCGTAGTGTTATATGTGACCATCGTGATTAATATTTCCTATATTCTCACGTCTTACCGTTAAATGGGAAACAACATATTGAAACGCGAAAGTTTGCCAAAGTAGCTATTAGTAGTACTCCTACGTCAATCAGAATATGTAAATATAGTTTACAGTACAAAACATTAGCAAGTTTCAATTAAAATTAATTTGATCTTTATGAAGCACAAGAATGATAAATTCATTTCTTAAGCCTTGTATGTCATCCTTAGAATTTTTCAAAACGATTAGATTATCTAATGTCATTGCTTGAGATTTATTATGCGCTTTCCTTATTCATTCTGTTGTCACGATAGAGAATCTGTATTGTAGTTAACACAGCTGCTTACCTTTCTTGCAGCAGATTTATAACAAATCATCTACAGATAGATAATTAGAAAATGAATTATCGAAGATTTGATAGCCTTTCTCGAAAGCATAACGTTGTTTTACGACTATTAATATGAAATATCTTTTCATGTCCAGACTCATTTCACTTGCTCCTTCATCGCCCATTGGAGGTGTAAAAGTATACTCTCTCAGAAATAATCAGCATCTATACAAATTTAGATCTGTATAGTTATATCGCAGACAATGATTTCCTTTGACTTTTATTAGCATGATAGAAACCATATACTATAATGTCTATTAGGAAACTATGTGCATCGTGACCGTCAACATCATTCACCAAATGCCAATTCAAAAAACTTTGTTCGGCCACATCTGGTCCATTACTTTGCTGTACATCAAGTTACGAGATCGACCAAAAATTCTCCTGTTTTTTATGCTGATGTTGAAACTCACGTAAGGCTGCAGCATTATTGTAATGAACTAATCACACCAAGTGACAAGAAAAATTTTGTGATCGATACTCATATTTGGTCTTACCTCGATCAAATGAATGGCACAACAACGGATTCTTTATGATCTACTCTCTAAAATTTAAATATCTTCATCCAGAGTATTGTTCATTGCTGAATATGTTAACCCTTTGAGGACGGAATTCTTTTTCAACTGAAAAGTAGTTTTTTCAATCACTTTATGTTATTTTCTTTAAAATATTTACATAAAAATCTTATGATAATCAAAGAAAAAACAATTTTTTGATCTTGGAAACAAAATGCTAATTTGCAAGTAAAACATGCGATGTTCGATCTAGCTTATGCTTCTTTTGTGTTAGAGTCAGCATATCTTCTTCGTGAGTGAGAGCGTCAGTGAAAGACCCATATCTACACTTTTTAGAGGATACTGAAACATTTCTTGAACAATTATGTCTTCATTCGACACCAGGTCATTTGAGTTGGAAGCTGGTCATAAACTGTAGAACAGTAGATGGAGCTGTGAACCATTGAACTCGTGAACTGATAAACTATCATATTCATAGTTATTATCAAGATAGTCAGTGCATGTGAATAGAACGAATCGATTGAACTATAGTTGTAACATATGTTATTTTTCCAGTAATAAAAGCGAACTTATCCAATATCTGTTTTCTATGATCATGTTATAATCTTATCGTTTAAATTTTGTTTACTATATGTCTGATAATTAGATTTCATAGATTTAACATGGATAAAATTAGATCGAACTTTTATTTGATAAACAACGTCGCTCTGATGGAACAAATACTTGTAAAACCACATTCAATAATCATAAGAAATTCAACATGATTTCAAAACCATAATGTGTTTTTATTTTCTTAACAATATCAATTTCACTCAAATCTTGTTTTTTTGTTATAGAAAAATGTATTGTTCATACATACAGCCATCGATCATATATGTTTACTTAGTTCAAAAGTATAGCAATCTTTGTTAGAGAGTTAATAGTTCATTTTGTTTTGTCTACAGAATGTATGTTCCACACTTATTATTCTAAGAGATGATACCATCATTGCGATATTAATTTAATTGAAAATAGACTTTTAAGAAAAAAAAAATTCACTATAAGCAAATGAAATGAAGTACATAAGGATTGATTAATTGTTCCTTTATGGCTGAAATGTGGAACTCACGTATATTCTTCAGCCTCATTATACTAATAGAAAATATGTAAAGTGAAAATTCTCTGGTAAGTAATAATAGTTTTCCAAAGAGAACCGATCTCCATATAGATCAAATGGTAACTATGACAAATCAATCGATCACTATCCATTATCCCTGACATCTATCATATAACTTTTTATCCGTGAAAAATTCACAAACTGGGTGTGGGTGTAGATGTGGGGATATTTTCTTTTTGTCTTTCGCATCCATAAACACACCTCACACAAAGCATCCACCCACACCAACATCCACACCCGATCCGGAAATGTAATCACAAGAGATCAAAGACACAAAATACCCGCTTCAAAGTGTCTTTTTACAGTTCACTGAATACTAAGGAAAGTCAAAAGAATTATCACAAATGACTTTCGACGCCTAACAACAATTGTCAACAATAGAATTAGGAAAGCGCTTAGTTCTCTCCTAATCACTCTATACATGCTCAACTGGAATAGTTTATCATAGTTGTTCCGGCACACATGAACCACTTTTCACGTCTCTGATTTACTACGTTGCTGACAGACAAAATAATTAAATACAAAAAGAAAAAAAATATCAACAAATTGATATATGCAATCGTCATTTATAATTCACTTTTATTTTTATTTTTATTAAATTCTACATCTTTAACTTTTTGTTTTGGATAAGTAACATCGACAATTGGTAAGTTATTTTTTTGACAATAATCGACATTTTTTTTTAATATTGATCTCCAATCTTCTATATCGATTGTATTGCCAAACTCATCTAAATATTCAAGTGGACCCCAAAGAAAAGCTAATAGTTCAGTATCGCCATAATCTTGATGAATATAAAATGTATGAACAGATCCAGGAGCTTCATGTATAATATCTCCTGATTTTGATATCCATTCAGGATGTTCAATATAACCCCATGCACCCTTTAATGTATAAGCGTAAACTTCACCATAATGACGATGTGTGCCTACAGTATCACCAGGTCTACCACGCAATAATATTATCCAGAGACCTGTATTTGGATCCACTTTTAACAATTTGAATTCTATGCCATATTTTGGATCGCCATACGGAAAATAATATGTATTATTTGAACTTGCATGTGTCGGTCCATCGGCCAATAAAAAATCATAATTCATTCCATGACCAACAGCAATTAATAAATAGAAACAAAGAATACATAGCATTTTCATTGATCTGCAATAGAAAAGTACACTTGTTTTGTCTATTATTACGATCTTACTTTGTTTTTTTTTATTCTATACTGAAGCGTTAATGAATACTGCATGCACTATAAATATCAGTTAAAAAAAGATGATAAAATAATGATACACTCTACCCTTATCTGATGCATTCTATGTTAAGAAATTGCATTGGTTAACACATCATCCACCTGAGCTAGATAACAGCGAAACTAATGTAAGAGAAAGAGAAATAAAACAAGGATGACACTACCATCAACCAAGAGTGTAGGTGGTGACGAAGAGAAGGCTGACATCCACACCTACAACCAACATGCACTAAACAAAGATTTTCTTTTTTTGAGTATATGCATCAATACACGATAATGAACATCTGTTCACGTGTCTATCTTTATCAAAAGTGATCTCAAGACAAAAGAAATGTGCTCTATAAATCATTCATAATTACAGGTAGAGTACCATTCACTACCACTCATTTGAGTCAGATTACATGCTGTGCTAAACGGGTGAAGGTTTAACACTCACTTTTTTCATTTGCTACTTCTTGTCTCATATTATCTGTCTGTTGATGACCCCTCTTTGTTTGATTACTCTTATCATTGGTGTGATGAAAATTGGATCGTTTCCGATTCAACCATCCATTCCTATTTGGATAGTTATAACTGGTTCGATTTTATTCATACCAACAATTGCTGCTTTTATCTTCGTAAGTTCTATATAGTCTTCATATTGATGGATATAAGCGAATATTTGTATAAAGATTGCTCTCTGCTTTTCATGCCGTCGATGCCAATGTAACAAAAAAGTTTTACAAAAATCAGGAACTCTAGTTCTGCTTATCATGGCTATACTTCTAGCAATATGGCCATTCCGGTAAGCAATGTCTACATGTTATATAGCAAGAAATATCTTCTTATAATTTGCGAAACATTTTTGATGTATTATGCTGTGATAGCTCGATTACAAATATAATAGATCAACAATTTTCTCATTTGAATCAAAATGATATTATTTTGAATAAGAAGCAAACAAATGATTCTAATGCTTCTGACGTGAGAATCTTCACTTAACTAGTTTCACTTGATAGTCCGAACCTGATATAAAAAGAGTTGCATTTTGAGCGATTTTGCTTCTTTTTGAAACTATGGAATATTAATTTAATAAATAGAAACGATTTCTGTTCAAAACGAATTAAAGTCGGAATTAATTTGAAGAAAATCATCGTCTGTATACTAGCGTCTAACATCGCGAGCAATAGTCTTGATAATCAATCATTTATTCACGTTAATATGATTCGGATTTTCTATTTCAGGGCACGATCTGGACTTTTGGCGTACGAAACCGCTTTACATCTGATGAAGCACCTATGTCAGTCGCTTACTGTCAGCAATCGACATTTAATTTTGTTTTCGTTTATTCGCTGATCATCGACATACTGGCCATTTTTGGCATGATTTCATTTTTGATATGACTTATTCGAAAAATCAAAAACGATTACTTCCACAAATATTCGATGATAAATATTTCCTTGATTGAAGGGAGGATCATATGAAATAAAATGAGTGTGTGTGTGCTTATTCGCTGAAAGATCAAAGGTCAAAAAGCAAAGATGGATTGTTCATGAGTCAAAGATCAGAGATCAAGGATCATTAAAACTAATTCAGGCTAGTTTTGCTTCGAAATCCTATTGGTTGGTTAAGAACTAATGGGAATCAACTTTTTCGAAAAGTAGTTCTATGAAGGTATTTTGATGTGGACAGCTTGAATTTGAACGCCATTAGCCTTGAAATCCTATTGGTTGGCTAAGAACCAATGGAAATTGACTTTGCCAAAAAGTATTTTTTGAGGATAATTGCATGTGATAAGTTTGAGAGTGTGTGGGTGTGAATGATTACAGTAACGCCTACACTCACGTGCACACCCACACTCATACATCCAAACCCACACCCCGCCTTCAGATATGCTAACAGTCTGAACTGTTACAGTGGCTTTTTAAGTCGAAAAACTGCACCGTCCTTTTACAAAGTCTATCCTTCAATTTTTTTTTCTTAAAAATCCTCTTTTTTCCTTCTTCTCTTCGAATGATCGTTCATAAGCCAGTTTGTAATTCATTTACATCATCCAGTGACTTTGTAAAAGTTTAGTTAAGGAGGGTGTGGGTGTGTATGCTGATGCAATGTTATTGACACCTACACCTGCACACACCCGATAAACTCACAAGCTGAAGCTGCGAATATTTTAATTGGATCATATGTATAAAATATTTGATATAGAATATCGAGCAATGTTAGAGGTGCTAAACGGTTTTTCACTGAAGAAATGGTTGTCTATCTTGTCATTGACAGTCAAATAATTTTTAAATGAACATAAATTAAATAATCATACACTATGAAAATATACAAGGTATTCGGAAAGCAGCTCTCTATTTCAAATTCTTCTTTTTTCTTCAATAACAAGAAATATTTTATTTTTCTTTCTTATTATTTTCAAGCATGCTCCATAAGGTTTTTTTTAGATAAGAACGAACATTAGTGGAGTGACTATTGAAGATTAAATATAACTTCTTTCTAAAAAGTGCTAAAAAATATCTTCTTAGTTTTTATGTTGTATTTCTTTTATATGAAAATCAGTATTCTAATGATTTTTTTATTGTTTCCAAATGTGTGATGGTATTACGTAATTATATCTCAAATTTCCGCATGAGTTCCTTCGTTTTCTATACACTTTTGCAATAGAACTTCAACGTTCTTCACTGCCTTCTCCAAAAATTCTTGCGGAACGTTTTTGAGAACACTGCAAATTTGCTCTTTGAGTTCTGTCAGGTTTTTCAGATTGGGTGTTGGGTGTGGGTGTGGGGGTGTGGGTGTGTGTGGATGTGGGCGTGGGTGTAGGGTAAAGTGTGAGTGTGGGTAGGTGCGAGTGTGGTGTGTGGGTGTGAGGTGGATGAGAGGTGAATGTTAGTGTGAGCGTAAGTGTGAGTGTGGATTTGCATGAAGACAATACCTACACTCACACCCACACCCCACATCCCACACCACCCACACCCCACACTCACACCCACACCCCACACCCATACCCACCCACACCCACACTTTTACCCTAACAACAGTAGATAACAGACACAAGACCTCTCTCTTTCTCATAGTTTCTTAGCAAAAGAAATAGCGCTGATCGATCATAAAAACAATGTATAGACTCTTCTGAAGCATTCTTAAATAGTCGGGGTTCCGGAATTTCGTCAATAGGACTTTCGCCATTGGAGAAAATCCACTGTACTTTCGCCAATACATTTGGTGGAATTTCGCCAATTGGCGAAAGTTCTTCATACTTCCACCAATATACCCCTGGATTGTCACCAATTGGTGGAAGTACAGTGAGATTTCAGCAATTTCATTGTAAATTAGGCGTGCACTGAAAAACTTTTTCTCATCTACATCGATGAGTATAAACTATGACATACATATTCTAATAACATTAACTTCAGCGTTGACATATATCCTTTATTTATATTGTTCCATCACCACTGAGATAGTCCATCTCACTTTCGCCAATATGGTCTCTAGAACTTTGCCAATTGGCGAAAGTTCACTGTACTTTCGCCAATATACCCCCAAGACTTTCTCCATTGGCGAATGTCTTATTGGCCGAAGTCTCATTGGCAAACATCTCGCCACCCGAATAGTCAAGGAAATGAAGTTGTGATCGTTTTCACTCGTGATTATACTCATATATGTTTTTCTTAATGTACACTGGTATAACGTTTCTCTATTCTTTTTATAGCTTTCATATCCTCTATCTCTCTTATTGCCACCTTCGTCATCTTCATCATCTGTCTTTATCTACTCGTTGCTCTGTATACTTTCTTTCTTCTTCTCCTTTCCCTTTTTATTCTTATATCTCAAAATGGATTTTATTCACTTCATTGTGAGTCAAAACTTTTGTATGGCATAATAAATAAATATATATATATATCTATAAAGAATATAAGTAGCTTAACATGACATGAAATTCTTCACTTCTAAATTTAGTATTATGATAAATCTAAGAAGAAAAACCTTGGCCGATAAGCTACTAAGAAAATATATTTCTCTTCATTTGAGAAGAAGTTGAACAAGTGGAAATGTCTGACTCGTTCGATGAAATTTCCATTCAACTGGCACGAATTCTTTTACCTATCATTATCGTTGTGGGTATAGTGGGAAACTCTATCAACATTATTATACTTACTCGACCCAATTTACGTAACCATGCGTGTTCTCACTATTTTCTTGCTCTGGCTTGTAACAATCTTCTCCATTCAATCATGATTATTCATTACCTACTAGCTAATGGATACCAAATCGATGAACAAATTGTTTCCCTGTTCTGGTGTAAATTGATTCAGTTTATTAGTACTATAAATGGAATGTTGTCACCCTACTACATTGTACTTGCATCGATCGACCGGTTTTGTGCTAGTTCGACAAGTGTTAGACTACGCGACTTTAGCAATGTAATTGTAGCACGACGGGTGATTTTGGCTTCAACTGGTTTATGCGTCCTCTTCTGCATTAACACTCTTGTGCTGTGTGATTTGCGTGACGATGATTGGCTTGGATGCAACATTCGAATTGACACTCTCTACAAGCAAATATACATATTGGCACAGATTATCCAGTTCACTGCCATCGCACCATGTCTTATGGTATTATTCGGCTTGTTGACTATCTATAATACAAGTAAAATGCGTATTATCCCTGCAACAACTATGCATCATCGTCGCACAGAAGGACAACTTGCTCGAATGCTTCTTCTCCAAGTGGTTACTTTCACTATGCTTAATATGCCTGTGTGTATAATCTATTTAATGTTGGCCTTACCGACTGGATATCAGCCCACAAGAGAGTTACTCTTTGCTAACAATATTGCTCCATTTCCTTTTCATTTTTCTTATGCCACAACCTTTTTCTTGTACATTATTTCGGCTCGCGTGTACAGAGAAGAGTTCATTC